TAATTTTGAGACTTCTGCAAACACTTTTTTTTAACATCGATTTGTCGTTTTCGACTGGTGTGACTTGTCAGCAGGGTTCAATTACGTTCAGGCAGACGACAGGAGTTCAATTCGCAATGTCGATATTTTTCAAAGGTCTCCCCTTGGTTTGAACCGCTCTTTCGGATCAGAAGAATCGCCAAGCAGTGCGGTTAACTTGAGTCAGTTATTCCTCAAATATATATTTGCGTCCAAACGAGATATAATTTAATCTTACATCGTGCCGGGGTCTTTTTGGTGCAGCTGTTTGTAGAGGATGAGGAAGTTCAGGTTAGGATACCAATTTCCTGCCATCCGACTCAGGATAGGGTCACATAGGACAGAAGAATTGAAAAATTATCCACATTATCCTTTCAATGTTAAGGGCTGTCAGCAGTGATATTTCACTGTAAGGGTTTTTGTTTTGAATTTTACATCGTGCTGGTGTCTTCTTGGTGCAGCTCTATGTCAACAATGACATGCAGATTGTGTTATTTTAGGAAACTAATTTCCTGTTATCCCACTCAGGATGAGGTCACGAAGGATAGAGGAATTGTACATACATCCTAGGAGATGTGAACGCTGCTATATTAGGAATGCCAAGGGAAACCTTTCTTGTTTTCAATCTTTCATCTGAATTGGCACAAGCCAGTACACTATACACTGAGTAGAGGGTTTCACCCTCAGCTGTTTTACTTAGACACGTTAATAAAGTTGTTGATTGATTGATTGATTGATCGTGTTGTTTTTCTTGAAAAAACACGAAAGTGGAGTCAGAATGAGCACTGAGGAAGTCCTAACATTGGAAAAGTCCGTTTCACAAAACCGCTTCGGCGGTTGATACAATTTACCTCTTTCAGCTTCAAGATAAATAGCCATGTAGGCTACCTCGGCAAATATAAAAGGCTGTTAATCTTTTCGGATAGCATTTATATCGGAAAAGATGAAAAAGAAAACGGCCGAACTCCTCCGTTTTCTCTGATAATGACACTAAAAGCATGAATTTCCACGATTTGGCAAGCCCTTGCGTTCAACTATTCGGCAACCAGATAGCCTTCCTTATTCATTGATTCTTTCGTCGTTTTAGTTTCTCTTCTCTCTTCTACATCTTCATATGTAACTTACATCTGGCCTTGCCTAAAATTTAACATTCAATGCTGTAATTGAGACATATTTTTCTTAAAAAAAGTGTTGTAGTCAGACAGCATACCTTCAATTTCACCTACATACGGTGAAAATATGATAGAAAATAGCCTTCGTTCTCTTATATTTCGACTCCTGATTTCGACCAACTACCGTGTCTTCAAGCAGTAGCAAGCATTGTCTGAAAACCTGAATACTGATTCGATTTTTATTGCATTTGCGTGATCTAGTAAATTATGTCATTCTGAATCTGGTCACGTGGTATCCTTGAAATAGCATCTGGACAGAGTGGAATACACTTTAGGGAATAACAATCGGAACTGAATGAGCATAAAGCTGATTTGAAATTAGAAGCACGATTTCTCTTTGAACTGTAAGATACAAAGGAAACATTTAAGAGGGAGGCCGTTCAAGTGCACAATTGACGCTCGAATGCTGTAAGTGTCAGAAGTGTCGTTGGCGAACAGATCAATGATTGATCTGCGAGACACTGACAAATAACACGATATTTTGCGATAACCAAATTCAATAACTGCTCATCATTTAATTGATCACCAAGTTTCTTTCATGTTTGATCATTCTCTGACAACTCAGGGAAGCAATCTGCCATTTTTCACCTAAAAGCGAGGTTACAATTGCGTGAGAGCAGAATATTATTAACAGCAAAACAAATTTGGAGGGTATTACGCATCAGTAAGCTATTATTTGTATGCAGTTATTTGCAGGCCACGTGGTGGGCTCTCGGCCAATAAAAAGGAAGAAAAATACATCGAATGATAATAAGCACTTAATGACTGACCCAAAGGGAAACAGTTAGTTTTGTTTCCCCGATACCCTCAATGTTCCCCTCGGCTTCGCCTCGGGGAACGTTGTGGTCGAAGGGAAACAAAACCCACTGTTTCCCGCGGTACCAGTCATTAAGTGTTTTGTTATACCTCCCAACTCAAAAATAGAAAAAAATGCGAAGGAATCGTTTGCTTGACGCCGGCTGGCTCACAAATTTGGCGCGCTTTCAAGGAGCACGACCTGATCACGTGCGAGTCGAAAGTTCAAATTGTCGTTTCCCTTGGGAGTTAGTGAGGTTTGACTCACGAAACGTGACACGTTCTCCCCCAATCGGAAAAAGTATTTTAGTTGGGAGGTATAAAAAAGAAAAAGAAAAAGGAAAAGAAACAAGCAGGAAACTTTCTGGCACTGAACGAGAACTCCATGGTTGAAAGCAATTTTCCTTAACCTGACATGGTCTGGTAAACTGAATAATTTTCTCCATTTTTAGTCGCAATTTATATACGAATAGCGTTGTTGCGACCAAGTATATATAAAGAGCGCCAAACTTGGATTCAACCTTATAGTTTCTGACTACGGTAAAATCCCATGTTAAAGTCCTGGGCCTATATGACTTCATAAGGGATTTGGGTGGGCTTATAAACGGGGGTGGAAGGGGGGCGGGGGTGGGCTTATATCCGGGTGCATGTAAGCGA